TGGGTATTTGAAGAATCTCAAATATATTTTGATTTGTTTAACACTTTTTTGATTACTACATGAGTTATTATTCCATATGTGTCATTTCATAGTTTTGATGTCTTCACTATTATTCTACAATGTAACAATTTCTAAAAATAAAGAAAAACCCTTGAATGAGTAGGTGTGTCCAAACTTTTGACTGCTAGTGTACATCAAAATGGGATGCATACAACTAATAAAACGGTTGTATTTTTGTGTCTGTGTGTGTAGGTACCAGACAGCAGACGGTGAGGTGAAGTATGTCCATGATGCTGAGGAGCTGATCAGGCCAGAGAGAAACACTCTGCTGGTCTCCTTCACTGATCTGGAAGGATTTAACCAGGAACTGGCAACCACCATCCAGGAGGAGTTTTACAGGTAGCTACAGATCTAGGATCAGATTTCGATTCCTCAATCCATCAGAGGAGGCGGCGCAACACTCCATAAAATAAAACAGTGTGATATTTAGGTCATAGACCTTTTATAAGACCCTCCCCAAACTCTAACAGAGCACTTAGAACCTTTGTGTGTTAGTGTTGTTGAAGATCTTAACGTTACTATGTCCAGCTAACAAGCTCTCTATTCCTCTCTCCTTCTCTTTCTACTTGTATCTCTCCCCCTCTCCAGAGTGTATCCCTTCCTTTGCCGTGCGGTGAGGAACTTTGCTAGGGATCATGGGAATGTCCCTGTGAATAAGGAGTTCTACTTGGCCATTCAGGACCTGCCCACCAGACACAAGTAAGAGACATATACCTGAAGACAAATGTTTCAAGTCACACAAATGGTGTTGTTGGTCTGACGGGTTCTGTTCTCTAAGATGTTTTGTGTGTGATCTGACAGTGTTCCTTTTGTGTTATAGGATCCGTGAGCTGTCCTCCCTGCGTATCGGCTCTCTGGTGCGGATCAGTGCACAGGTAGTGAGGACGCACCCTGTACACCCAGAACTGGTGAGTCACACACTGTATACCCAGAGCTTGTGAGTGAGGCCGAATGCTTCCTAAAAACTCTTGAGATGTTTTACATCTGTGTCTGATCCTCTCTGTTATGCCTCCTTCAGGTGAGCGGGACGTTCCTGTGTCTGGACTGCCAGGGGGTGTGTCCAGACGTGCCCCAGCAGTTCAAGTACGCACCGCCCACCGTCTGCAGGAACCCTGTCTGCAGCAACCGCGCTCGCTTCCATCTAGACACACATCGCTCCAAGTTCATCGACTTCCAGAAGGTAGACGTTTACATTTTTTGTTGTTTAGCAGATGCTCTTATCCAGAGCGATTTACAGGAGCAATTAGGGCACAACGACAGATTATTCACCTAGTCGGCTCTGGGATTCTGTCAGATATCATCTGAATAACTTTGTCACCTTAACAACCTGGTCCCTTCAGAATAGTAGGAAGGCACGCATGTGATTGTGTCAGTAATGTTACGTGTGTGTGTCTGAGTCTGAAACTTGTGTGTGTTACACGTGTGTATGTCTATCCTCTGTGTGTGTGTGTGTGTGTAGGTGCGTATCCAGGAGACCCAGGCAGAGCTGCCCAGAGGGTCCATCCCCCGCTCCCTAGAGGTGATTCTGAGGGCCCAGGCCGGAGACCGCTGTGACATCACTGGCTCACTCATAGTGGTGCCCGACGTCTCCCAACTCAGCACCGCAGGTATGTACATACACAAACAAAAATACACACTGGCATGACACGTACACAGGTCATACAGACACACAACAGGACTCATTTCCCATCTCTCTCTAGGTGTGCGAGCAGAGACCAGTTCCCGTGTAGGAGGGAGACAAGGTTATGAGAACGAGGGCCTTCGCGGTCTTAAAGCCCTGGGAGTCAGAGAGCTGTCCTACAGACTGGCCTTCCTTGCCTGCCATGTGGCTCCTACCAACCCCAGGGTACGACACACACACTCACCCAAACCCCGAGACACACACACTCGCCCAAACCCCGAGACACACACACTCACCCAAACCTCGAGACACACACACTCACCCAAACCTCGAGACATACACATACACTCACCCAACCATCGAGACACACACTCGCACTACCTCAGGCTACAAACTGGTATACATATAATGCATGCATGTACAACATTTGTTTGAAGGGTGTTGTAATGGTGTTTGTGTGTGTAGTTTGGAGGAAAGGAGCTGCGTGATGAGGATCAGACAGCGGAGAGCATCAAGAGTCAGATGTCAGTTCAGGAGTGGGAAAAGGTGTTTGAGATGAGCCAAGACAAGAACCTCTACCACAACCTCGGCACCAGCCTGTTTCCAACTATACACGGTCAGTACTACACTGTTACTACTGCACCACTGCCATATTACTACCACAACCTCGGCACCAGCATGTTCCCCACCATACACGGTCAGTACTACACTGTTACTACTGCACCACTGCCATATTACTACCACAACCTCGGCACCAGCATGTTCCCCACCATACACGGTCAGTACTACACTGTTACTACTGCACCACTGCCATATTACTACCACAACCTCGGCACCAGCATGTTCCCCACCATACACGGTCAGTACTACACTGTTACTACTCATTTCCCATCTCTCTCTAGGTGTGCGAGCAGAGACCAGTTCCCGTGTAGGAGGGAGACAAGGTTATGAGAACGAGGGCCTTCGCGGTCTTAAAGCCCTGGGAGTCAGAGAGCTGTCCTACAGACTGGCCTTCCTCGCCTGCCATGTGGCTCCTACCAACCCCAGGGTACGACACACACACTCACCCAAACCCCGAGACCCACACACTCGCCCAAACCCCGAGACACACACACTCGCCCAAACCCCGAGACACACACACTCACCCAAACCCCGAGACACACACACTCACCCAAACCCCGAGACACACACACTCACCCAAACCTCGAGACACACACACTCACCCAAACCCCGAGACACACACACTCACCCAAACCCCGAGACACACACACTCACCCAAACCTCGAGACACACACATACAGTGAGGGAAAAAAGTATTTGATCCCCTGCTGATTTTGTACGTTTTCCCACTGACAAAGAAATGATCAGTCTATAATTTTAACGGTAGGTTTATTTGAACAGTGAGAGACAGAATAACAACAAAAAAATCCAGAAAAACGCATGTCAAGAATGTTATGAATTGATTTCCATTTTAATGAGGGAAATAAGTATTTGACCCCTTCTCAATCAGAAAGATTTCTGGCTCCCAGGTGTCTTTTATACAGGTAACGAGCTGAGATTAGGAGCACACTCTTAAAGGGAGTGCTCCTAATCTCAGTGTGTTACCTGTATAAAAGACACCTGTCCACAGAAGCAATCAATCAATCCGATTCCAAACTCTCCACCATGACCAAGACCAAAGAGCTCTCCAAGGATGTCAGGGACAAGATTGTAGACCTACACAAGGCTGGAATGGGCTACAAGACCATCGCCAAGCAGCTTGGTGAGAAGGTGACAACAGTTGGTGCGATTATTCGCAAATGGAAGAAACACAAAATAACTGTTAATCTCCCTCGGCCTGGGGCTCCATGAAAGATCTCACCTCGTGGAGTTGCAATGATCATGAGAACGGTGAGGAATCAGCCCAGAACTACACGGGAGGATCTTGTCAATGATCTCAAGGCAGCTGGGACCATAGTCACCAAGAAAACAATTGGTAACACACTACGCCGTGTAGGACTGAAATCCTGCAGCGCCCGCAAGGTCCCCCTGCTCAAGAAAGCACATATACAGGCCCGTCTGAAGTTTGCCAATGAACATCTGAATGATTCAGAGGAGAACTGGGTGAAAGTGTTGTGGTCAGATGAGACCAAAATCGAGCTCTTTGGCATCAACTCAACTCGCCGTGTTTGGAGGAGGAGGAATGCTGCCTATGACCCCAAGAACACCATCCCCACCGTCAAACATGGAGGTGGAAACATTATGCTTTGTGGGTGTTTTTCTGCTAAGGGGACAGGACAACTTCACCGCATCAAAGGGACGATGGACGGGGCCATGTACTGTCAAATCTTGGGTGAGAACCTCCTTCCCTCAGCCAGGGCATTGAAAATGAGTCGTGGATGGGTATTCCAGCATGACAATGACCCAAAACACACGGCCAAGGCAACAAAGGAGTGGCTCAAGAAGAAGCACATTAAGGTCCTGGAGTGGCCTAGCCAGTCTCCAGACCTTAATCCCATAGAAAATCTGTGGAGGGGGCTGAAGGTTCGAGTTGCCAAACGTCAGCCTCAAAACCTTAATGACTTGGAGAAGATCTGCAAAGAGGAGTGGGACAAAATCCCTCCTGAGATGTGTGCAAACCTGGTGGCCAACTACAAGAAACGTTTGACCTCTGTGATTGCCAACAAGGGTTTTGCCTCCAAGTACTAAGTAATGTTTTGCAGAGGGGTCAAATACTTATTTCCCTCATTAAAATGCAAATCAATTTATAACGTTTTTGACATGCGTTTTTCTGGATTTTTTTGTTGTTATTCTGTCTCTCACTGTTCAAATAAACCTACCATTAAAATTATATACTGATCATGTCTTTGTCAGTGGGCAAACGTACAAAATCACTCACCCAACCATCGAGAGACACACACACGCCTACATTTTTTGAAACGAGTTATTTTTTTCATTTTAGTTCACCAATTTGGACTATTTTGTGTATGTCCATTATATGAAATCCAAATAAAAATCCTTTTAAATTACAGGTTGTGATGCAACAAAATAGGAAAAATGCCAAGGGGCTGAATACTTTTGCAAGGCGCTGTAAGTGCTGATGTGTTTGATTTAACCCTCTGACCACAGACATTTTCAGTGAAACTGAACTGCCTTTAAACGAGAGGCAGAAAAAACCTGTTATTCTTAGAAAACGACAGAAAGGGGAAAAACACAAATGCCTGAGTGATTGCACAGTAACTAGCAAGAACAAAATAACAGTTGCCTAGTTTGGCCAATTATGACCCCTTACTTCTTATTGTTTTAGTATGTGTAAACATCAGTGGAGAAGCAGACAGGTGTGTGTGAATCGCATGGAGAAGACAGTCCTTTATTAAATGACTAGACCTGCACAGTACAGTACAGCGATTCACACAGCAGCTATGATGCAGAGACATATCTAATAAGGTCAGTAAAACACCACTGGCCACAGGGAGGGCATTAACAGCATCAAACATTTGATTATTCTTCTCTTTGTTTAATGGGGAAGCATTTTTCCACATGCTATAACACTTTTGTATTTTTGTATACAAAACATATGCATCAAAGGTAGACTTTCATTTGTGTGTATTTTTTTGTATGCATACATTTAACATGGGAAGTACAGTCAGAGGATTAACATCAAGTTAACTGAGGAGACGCACACATTTCAACAGCCATAAGCCAGCAAATGCTCTGGAGAAATCAGAGCAACATATTTACATTATTCCCCTGGCAACAATAATACAAATAAACGTTTTCAAACAGGCTAGAGTCGAGAAAAACTCTATAAAGCAGGAATGAAATGAAACCTTACCAAAAGTTTAAAACGTCATTACACAGATCAATGTTCAATAAAAACAGCTTCAAGAGTCTTGAATTGGCGTCTGACATAAACCCATGGAAAGAGGGGAGGAGGAGGAAAAGGGTTGGAGGGGAGGAGAGATTGAAGGAGGGATGAGATGAGTCTAGTCCTCCAGAGTGTAGTTGGGGTTGACGACCAGAACTTCTTCCTGTGTCTCTGTCTCTGACCCTTTCAGCCCCCCCTGAGACAGTTCTATCAGGATATGATCCTAGAGATGGAGAGAAAGAGAGTTAGTAAAGTTGTCTGTTGGATGTAAGGTTTGTAAATGTCTTATTACTCTGACTCCATGGTGTGTGTACTTACGTAGTGCACCAGTCGGTGTAGGACCTTCTCTATGAGGCTCTTCTTGTTGATGAGTTCCTCTTCTGAGTCGATCTCTGACTCCATCTCCTTCAGATACCAGTTGATCACTGCACTCTTCTTCAACTCCTCCTCCTCCTCAGCTGCACACACAGGTAAACAACAGTTAACCACTGCAATACACACTTTGCACATGTAGTGTGTGTGTGTGTGTCTTACCCTCCTCGGCCCTGCGGAGATGCAGCACCAGCAGGTTGGAGATGCGGCGGTACTCTGGGAAAGTGAGGCGCAGCGAGGGCTTGGAGCTGCTGTCAGCGTGATCATTCACACCGTTGGTTTGGCCGGTAACTCCGTTGGTGTGGTCGTTCACCTGCCCGTTAACCTGGCCATTCACTCCGTTAGGAATGTCATGACCTGCAGAGATAGAAAAGAGGTTTCACTACCACACCTGCTGTATAACATATAAATAACTAATGTAAAGCTGTAGTAGTAGTAGTAGTAGTAGTAGTATGTGTGTACCGTTCTCCCCCTCCTCTTCCTCCTCCATCTCCTGGTCATGTTCCAGGTTGATGTCAGGCGTCTCCACTCTGATGATGGACTTATTGAGCAGGCGGAATGCCTCCTTGACGTGCTTCGGCTGGACCTGCAGAAAACAACAAATAACGTGCACACTGTATGACAGAACATCCTACACAATGTATTAGCACACAATCTATGACAGACTAGCAGATTTTATCAATCCTTCAGGACAGAACCAAACTTGAAACACATGTTTTGAGAGCTGAGTCCAGTGTGATTGAGTTGTGTGTGTGTAAGTTGTTTGACCTCTTACCTCATCACAGCAGTGCATGCGGGCCATGCCCTCAGAAAGGCGGATCATGCTCTCCAGCTGCCGCACCGTGATTCGCCAGGCCGATGTGGCCACGCCCCCAGAGCCGTCACGCTGACGCAGCCGTTTGTACTGCTCCACGATGAACTCTTCCGACTCACCAGAGATCTATGCACAAACACAAATGTACAGACATGTTAGTACTGCTCCATTGGACTCACAGCACAGAAACACCAAGACACTGAACCCTTGAAACACACACACACAGCACTGACCTTGGGTTTGAACTGCCGGGCAAAGAGCAGGTATCTTCTGATCTCATCCAGAGAGTAGAGTCTGTCTACTGAGTTCTCAATGCGAGAGTGCAGATCCACAATACGCCTGGCTATGGCATAGTCTGTCACCTACACACACACATTCCATTAGTACGTATAAACACACACATATATAAACGCCTCGCTGTGGCATAGTTTGTCACATCTTTCTTTTACACACACACACACATTTTCTTTCTCTCTTACTCACCTCGTTGCAGTCATCCACTAGGATGAAGAAGAGGTCGAAGCGGCTCATGATGGGAGCGGACAGGTTGACGTTTTGTTTCAGACTCTTGCTGCGGTCGTAGCGACCACCGACCGGGTTAGCAGCCGCCAGGATGGAGGTACGGGCATTCAGAGTGGCCTGGAGGAGTGGGAGGGTTAGAGTGTGTGTTCAATTCTGCTTTAGTGATGGCGCTGGTGTATGTGTGAGCATGTATGTGTGTGTACCTTGACTCCAGCTTTAGTGATGGAGATGGTCTGTTGCTCCATGGCCTCGTGGATGGCCACCTGGTCTCTGGTCTCCATCTTATCAAACTCATCGATACAACACACACCCTGTTGACAAAGAGAAATACACACCACTTTAAGCACAAAACACACACACACATGCACCATCCTCAGCTCACACACACACACTCACGTTGTCAGCGAGCATGAGTGCTCCGGCCTCGATGACGAACTCGTGTGACTCCTCGTCTCGAACCACGGCTGCTGTTAGACCTGCTGCACTGCTGGCCTTCCCACTGGTATACACAGCCCTGGGACTGAACTCCTCCACATGCCTGAGGGAGGAGACAGGGTGGAAGGCTATAAGCCTGAGAGTGTACGGGTGTAGCGTCGGTATAGGGGGATGTGTCGCTGGTTTTGTGTGAGGGTTAGACGGGTAGGGTGCAAGTGAGTAGAGGTGTAAGTGTGTAGGCTACAGGATGGAGGGATTGACTTGAGGAATGCTTTCTGACATTGAGGAATCTCATACAGTGCCTTCAGAAAATATTCACATCCCTTGACTTTTCCCACATTTTGTTGTTACAGCCTGCATTTGAAATGGATTAACTTGAGATTTTGTCACTGGCCTACACACAATACCCCATATTGTCAAAGTGGAACTATGTTTTTCAAAAAACAAAAACAATCATTAAACATGAAAAGCTGAAATGTCTTGCATCAATAAGTATTCAACCCCTTTGTTATGTCAAGCCTAAATAAGTTCAGGAGTAAACATTTGCTTAACAAGTCACATAATAAGTTGCATGGACTCAAGGGCGGTTTTCCAATGCCTTGCAAAGAAGGGCACCTATTGGCAGATGGGTAAAAAATTAAAAAGCAGACATTGAATATCCCTTTGAGCATGGTGAAGTTATTAATTACACTTTGGATGGTGTATCAATACACCCAGTCACTACAAAGTTACAGGCATCCTTCCAAACTCAGTTGCCGGAGAGGAAGGACATCGCTCAGGGATTTCACCATGAGACCAATGGTGACTTTAAAACAGTTACAGAGTTTAATGGCTGTGATAGGAGAAAACTGAGGATGGATCAACAACATTGCAGTTACTCCACAATACTAACCTAATTGACAGAGGGAAAATAAGGAAGCCTGTACAGAATACAAATATTCCAAAACATGCATCCTGTTTGCAACAAGGCACTAAAGTAATACTGCAAAAAATATGGCAAAGCAATTCACTTTTTGTCCTGAATGCAAAGTGTTATGTTTGGGGCAAATCCAATACAACACATTACTGAGTACCACTCTCCATATTTTCAAGCATAGTGATGGCTGCATCATGTTATGGGTATGTTTGTAATCATTAGGGATTGGGGATCTTTTCAGGATAAAAAATAAACGGAATGGAGTTAAGCACAGGCAAAATCCTAGAGGAAAACCTGGTTCAGTCTGCTTTCCACAAGACACTGGGAGATGAATTCACCTTTCAGCAGGACAATAACCTAAAACACAAGGCCAAATCTACATTGGAGTTGCTTACCAAGAAGACAGTGAATGTTCCTGAGTGGCCGAGTTACACTTTTGACTTAAATCTACTTGAAAGACTATGGCAAGACCAGAAAATGGTTGTCTAGCAATGATCAACAACCAGAATTTGTTTAAGAATAATGGGCAAATGTTGCACAATCCAGGTGTGTAAAGCTCTTAGAGACTTACCCAGAAAGACTCACAGCTGTAATCGCTGCCAAAGGTGATTCTAACATGTATTGACTCAGGGGTGTGAATATTTATGTAAATGAGATATTTCTGTATTTCATTTTCAATAAATGTTCGAAAATTTCTAACTAATATGTATTCACTTCATCATTGTGTGTAGATGAGTGAGAGAAAAAGTATATTTAATCCATTTTGAATTCAGGCTATAACACAACAAAATGTGGAATAGCCTAAGTCAAGGCACTGTTCATGTAGGTAGGTAGTGTGGAGTGTATAGTGTGTAAGTGTGGAGGGTGTAGTGTGTAAGTGTGGAGTGTATAGTGTGTAAGTGTGGAGGGTGTAGTGTGTAAGTGTGGAGGGTGTAGTGTGTAAGTGTGGAGGGTGTAGTGTGTAAGTGTGTAGGGTGTAGAGGTCTTACTTTAGGAACTGGCTCTTGGCGGTAGAGGGGTCTCCTACAATGCAGACGTTGACATCTCCTCTGAGAGACGTTCCCTCCATGGTGGTTTTAGGAACACCCCCGAACAACATCAACAGGATACCGCGCTTCACCTCATCGTTACCTACACACACGTTATACACACACACACACGTTATACACACACACACAGAATACCACATGCAAAGGCTGTGGTAATAACATAGTAATAGTAACAGTGTAGTACTGACCGTGTATGGTGGGGAACATGCTGGTGCCGAGGTTGTGGTAGTAATATGGTAGTGGTGCAGTAGTAGGATACAGTAGTAGTCAGGGTTCGACATTCAGGGCTGCCCACTGGCCCGGCAACATCAGCTGAGCTCACCGGGCCAATTAATCAAACTTTCATATGGCCGCTTGAGCCAGTACATTTACATTTAAGTAATTTAGCAGACGCTCTTATCCAGAGCGACTTACAGGAGCAGTTAGGGTTAAGTGCCTTGCTCAAGGGCACATCGACATATTTTTCACCTAGTCGGCTCGGGGATTAGAACCAGCGACCTTTCGGTTACTGACACAACGCTCTTAACCACTAAGCTACCTGCCGCCCCCTACAGTAGACATTTTCAAACTCCAAAACAGAAAATAATCATGTATATTTGTATTTAATCCTTCACAATCTTCCCGACGTCTGATGCTTCACACTTGTTATCAACCATTCGGTTTCCAAGCGGAGGAAAGAATGTCGAGCCTCCGTTTCGAGTGAGCCCTGCCTCAGTAGGCTACGTCCTGGATACTCGCGCCAGACCCGTCTCAGTAGAGGCGGGAAGCCCATCAATTCAGAGTTCAACATTGGCACGCGCATGCCACAATCACAGAATAAAAGGTCCTCCACCTGCTTTTCAGTCTTTTTTTCCTATCAGACATCCTACACAGCAATGTTATTATTAACAAGGAGGTTTACGTAGGCCTATAGTTATATAATGAATATTGTAATAGGCCCTAATGCTATTCTGTAGTCTATATAATTGTTTAAAAAACAGATTAATCCCCGAAGCTGTTGTTTATTTATCAGCTGGCAAGAGCGCGCAACTCCTCACACAGCTGATTGCTGCGTGGAAAGAAATGTGTTCTAATAAGCCCAGTCACGGCGCAACATTTCTAAATGCAATCTCGGGAAAAGACAACAGTTTTGATGGCAATTATTGAAAAGAGCGGGATCCCAGCTTTCCAGTTTGTATGATTTATTGCATAAAGGGTATTCACTGTAGAATTCACACAATTGCACTGTATTAAAAAAAATCACAGGATTTTATTAGTGCCCACAGGAGTTTTTTTGGGACATTAAACAAGCAACATAATTATATTTAGAGTCTGTGTTCTAGCTAATGATTAGCCCATTGTGGTAAACAATGTAGAGGAGCAACCCCATGCTTCAGCCATGTAGCTACCATGCTGCATCCGACAGGTGATCATGCTTCAGCCATGTAGCTACCATGCTGCATCAGGCTACAGGTGATAATGCTTATTCCTAAAATAGCACACCTGCCTGATAATATGGATCATGTACCTAAAGATCTTGCTTTTCATCAATGTAATTGAGCTAATTTCTGGAGGGGAATATTACATTTTAAACAGTTTAATGTTTTAAGTCTAGCTTATATGTCATCATTGAGAGGGGGATGGTTTTATTTTTGTTTTCCAAGCAATCAGTGTAAATATCCGATTTTATGGTTGGCTATAATATAAGATGCTTGTCCAGGCTGCAAATTAAACATGAAATCCCCCACGATTGAAATTCTGCGAGCACAACTTGCTTTCCTGTGGTTAAAAGCGTTGGGCCAGTAATCGGATGGTCACTGGATCGAATCGCCGAACCAACTAGGTGAAAAATCTGTTGATGTGCCTTTGAGCAAGGCACTTAACCCTAATTGCTCCTTTAAGTCGCTCTGGATAAGAGCGTCTGCTAAATGACTAAAATGTCAATCTTGGCCCGGGCCAGTAATTTTCTCATTTGGGCCAGTAGTTTTCAGTTGGTACTGGCACGGTCTGCCACTGGCAAATGTACCAGAATGTCTAGCTCTGGTAGTAACAGTGTAGTACTGACCGTGTATGGTGGGGAACATGCTGGTGCTGAGGTTGTGGTAGTAATATGGCAGTGGTGCAGTAGTAACAGTGTAGTACTGACCGTGTATGGTGGGGAACATGCTGGTGCCGAGGTTGTGGTAGTAATATGGCAGTGGTGCAGTAGTAACAGTGTAGTACTGACCGTGTATAGTTGGAAACAGGCTGGTGCCGAGGTTGTGGTAGAGGTTCTTGTCTTGGCTCATCTCAAACACCTTTTCCCACTCCTGAACTGACATCTGACTCTTGATGCTCTCCGCTGTCTGATCCTCATCACGCAGCTCCTTTCCTCCAAACTACACACACAAACACCATTACAACACCCTTCAAACAAATGTTGTACATGCATGCATTATATGTATACCAGTTTGTAGCCTGAGGTAGTGCGAGTGTGTGTCTCGATGGTTGGGTGAGTGTGTGTGTCTCGGGGTTTGGGTGAGTGTGTGTGTCTCGGGGTTTGGGCGAGTGTGTGTGTCTCGGGGTTTGGGCGAGTGTGTGTGTCTCGGGGTTTGGGCGAGTGTGTGTGTCTCGGGGTTTGGGCGAGTGTGTGTGTCTCGGGGTTTGGGTGAGTGTGTGTGTCGTACCCTGGGGTTGGTAGGAGCCACATGGCAGGCAAGGAAGGCCAGTCTGTAGGACAGCTCTCTGACTCCCAGGGCTTTAAGACCGCGAAGGCCCTCGTTCTCATAACCTTGTCTCCCTCCTACACGGGAACTGGTCTCTGCTCGCACACCTAGAGAGAGATGGGAAATGAGTCCTGTTGTGTGTCTGTATGACCTGTGTACGTGTCATGCCAGTGTGTATTTTTGTTTGTGTATGTACATACCTGCGGTGCTGAGTTGGGAGACGTCGGGCACCACTATGAGTGAGCCAGTGATGTCACAGCGGTCTCCGGCCTGGGCCGTCTCTACAGCCTCGGCCCTCAGAATCACCTCTAGCGAGCGGGGGATGGACCCTCTGGGCAGCTCTGCCTGGGTCTCCTGGATACGCACCTACACACACACACACACAGAGGTTAGACATACACACGTGTAACACACAAGTTTCAGACTCAGACACACACACGTAACATTACTGACACAATCACATGCGTGCCTTCCTACTATTCTGAAGGGACCAGGTTGTTAAGGTGACAAAGTTATTCAGATGATATCTGACAGAATCCCCGAGCCGACTAGGTGAAAAATCTGTCGTTGTGCCCTAATTGCTCCTGTAAATCGCTCTGGATAAGAGCATCTGCTAAACAACAAAAAATGTAAACGTCTACCTTCTGGAAGTCGATGAACTTGGAGCGATGTGTGTCTAGATGGAAGCGAGCGCGGTTGCTGCAGACGGGGTTCCTGCAGACGGTGGGCGGTGCGTACTTGAACTGCTGGGGCACGTCTGGACACACCCCCTGGCAGTCCAGACACAGGAACGTCCCGCTCACCTGAAGGAGGCATAACAGAGAGGATCAGACACAGATGTAAAACATCTCAAGAGTTTTTAGGAAGCATTCGGCCTCACTCACAAGCTCTGGGTATACAGTGTGTGACTCACCAGTTCTGGGTGTACAGGGTGCGTCCTCACTACCTGTGCACTGATCCGCACCAGAGAGCCGATACGCAGGGAGGACAGCTCACGGATCCTATAACACAAAAGGAACATTGTCAGATCACACACAAAACATCTTAGAGAACAGAACCCGTCAGACCAACAACACCATTTGTGTGACTTGAAACATTTGTCTTCAGGTATATGTCTCTTACTTGTGTCTGGTGGGCAGGTCCTGAATGGCCAAGTAGAACTCCTTATTCACAGGGACATTCCCATGATCCCTAGCAAAGTTCCTCACCGCACGGCAAAGGAAGGGATACACTCTGAAGAGGGGGAGAGATACAAGTACAAAGAGAAGGAGAGAGGAATAGAGAGCTTGTTAGCTGGACATAGTAACGTTAAGATCTTCAACAACACTAACACACAAAGGTTCTAAGTGCTCTGTTAGAGTTTGGGGAGGGTCTTATAAAAGGTCTATGACCTAAATATCACACTGTTTTATTTTATGGAGTGTTGCGCCGCCTCCTCTGATGGATTGAGGAATCGAAATCTGATCCTAGATCTGTAGCTACCTGTAAAACTCCTCCTGGATGGTGGTTGCCAGTTCCTGGTTAAATCCTTCCAGATCAGTGAAGGAGACCAGCAGAGTGTTTCTCTCTGGCCTGATCAGCTCCTCAGCATCATGGACATACTTCACCTCACCGTCTGCTGTCTGGTACCTACACACACAGACACAAAAATACAACCGTTTTATTAGTTGTATGCATCCCATTTTGATGTACACTAGCAGTCAAAAGTTTGGACACACCTACTCATTCATTCTTTTGACTGGTACTGTATAACTGATGTATAACTGTGGTTATAAAAGACTTGTATGAAGCTAGATTGGATATGTTAGCCATGCACATCGTGTTAGCCAACTTCAACTAGCTTGTAAACTAGCCAGCTATTTAGGTTTCAACAGTTCCAAAAACTTGGTAAAATGCATTAAAAATAGTTAGTTAGCACAATATTTATAAAGTAAATCCAGACATAACCTTGATGTCTAGCTATATGTTACAGTTTTGCTAGCTATCCAATAGCTATTAGCTATCTGCTAGATAGCTATAGCTAGCTAAGCAAACAATGTACCAGCAAGAATAATAACATCATCATGTCGTTATTTCACTTACTCTTCTAAGAAAGCCTGGAAAAGCTTCTGGCATTTCTCTGCCAACTCGTCCTTCACCATCTGTCCCGCATTCTCCTGAGTCGGCTGTACAAGATCCATCTTTTCACTTGATTAAAACTAAAATATTAAAATATTGAATCGTTTCTAAAGTCTCTCCTGTTGACTGTACAACGCACGCAGGGGAAAAGAAAGTGCACTTTTCGCGCGAAAACCAGGACCATGTGACGTTTGGCGCGACATAGTCGACCAATTACATCGATGTATTTTCAACCATGCAAACGTATGAAGGATTTTAGCCAATCAAAAGTTGGTATGCAAATGTAAAACAACCTCCTTTCTGCTTCCCCTTCCATGCTAGAAAAATGTATGCGGAATGACCATGTGCGGTTGTCACTAGTTACCACAGCCACAAAATCAAAATGGGCTATATCGTAAAAATTCATGAAAACAAACATTTGCATTTTGGTCTTAATATGAGGTTGGGGTTAGGGATAATATTAGCAGTGTGGTTAAAGTTTGGATTAAGGTTTAAAATCAGAGTTTAAGAAGATACATGGTAGATATAGGTGTGGTTTAGCCATAATTATGACTTTGTGAATGTGGTAACTAGTGACGACCGGACTGTGTGGACAGATCTAGGACCAGCTTCCCTTCCCACTCCTGGTATGAAGGTGGAGGGCGCAAAACTGACCTTCAACAGTCAAGAAATTGTAATATCGTTACCGTGTTAGGACCAACTTTGTGTATTTCCACATAAAATAAAAGAGCGTACAAGTGGTAGCTACTTCCAGAATGGTGGTTGGGTGCAGTTATGCGGTTTCTCCACTGGAGGAAGCTGTTGAACTGATCAAATCGAATTTTATTTGCCACATGCGCCGAATACAACAGGTGTAGACATTACAGTGAAATGCTTACTTACAAGCCCTTAACCAACTATGCAGTTTTTTAAAGAAAAAAAGTAAAAGAAAAAAAGAAAAGAAAATAACTAAAGAGCAGCAGCAAAATAAAATACCAGTAGGGAGGCTATATACAGGGGGGTACCGGTACAGAGTCAATGTGAGGGGGCACCGGCTAGTCGAGGTAATTGAGGTCTTATGTACATGTGGGTAGAGTTAAAGTGACTATGCATAAATAATAAACAGAGCATGTTCTCAAGTGCCGCATTGTCATATTCTTGGAGTGATAAGGTTTTGTAAAAATTGGGGTTTTGTGGTCTTAACAGGGGAAGGACAAGGACCATAGTTTGCCAGTTCTCCCTGGCAAGTGCTCTCCTCTCCCATCTCTCCTTCAGTAACAGTAGCCAACACTTATCTGAACAAAGGACAGGTGACAGTAATATGGAGGATGTCTACCTGTCATTCACCAATCCTAGTCTTTCATATCATCGGTGCAGGTGAAGGGAGAGGAGACAGCCTTTGGACTATTGGGATGTCATGTACACCTTTCCCCATGTCCTTCATGTACACTGTTCTGAAAACACTGGACTGTTGATAAGCGATATGGTGGATGCCTGCTCAGTTCTTTCACACCAGAGCAGATAAAGGAGAGGAAGCCCCTTTATACTGTTAAGATGAAGCCCATCTCTCTCTGACTTTCCCACGATTGTTCAGTCTCACCAACAGGAAACTGTCTGTCTTGATTTGACAGAGAACTTGACTTTACCATCTGTAGGCAGTAGGCTACCACACACGTACACACACACACACGCACCCACGCACTTTACATTTTTACATTTTAGTCATTTAGCGGACACTCTTATCCAGAGCAACTTACAGTTAGCGCATTCTTCTTAAGATAGCTAGGTGGGACAACCACATATCACAGGCATAGAAAGTAAATGTTTCCTCAATAAGTAGAGTCAGAGCTAGAAAGGGGGGGTCAAGTGCAAGTGCTGCACACACACACACACACACACACACACACACACACACACACACACACACACACACACACACACACACACACACACACACACAGGCCATTAAAGCTACAATATTTAGTTGCTACATCCATTTTTTGACTTATAAATTAATTATATATACTTGAAGAATATAACTTAGAAATGCCCCGTGAGCTTAGTTCAACTGCAGTACCTCATCAGAACCCAAAAACATAAGCTTGTTTACTCCAATGTTTACTCCACTGCTTTGTTATTGTTTAATGTAAAGGACTCTAGCTTTAAGCTGTCAAACCATCATTGTAGTGCTGCTGGGGGGGTAGAAGGAGAGAGGAGAATATGCATTCGGAAAGTAATCAGACCCATTTACTTTTTCCACATTTTGTTACGTTACAGCCTTATTTAAAATTGATTAAATTGTTTTTTTCCCCTCGTCAATCTACTTACATACAATACTCCATAATGACAAAGAAAAAAATGGTTTTTAGAAAATTTTGCAAATGTATTAAAAATAAAAAACAGAAATACCTTATTTATATAGGTCTTCAGACCCTTTCCTCAGTACTTTGTTGAAGCACCTTTGGCAGCGATTACAGCCTTGAGTCTTCTTGGATATGACAGTACAAGCTTGGCACACCTGTATTTGGGGAGTTTCTCCCATTCTTCTCTGCAGATCCTCTCAAGCTCAGTCTGGTTGGATGGGGAGCGTCGCTGCACAGTTATTTTCAGGTCTTTCCAGAGATGTTTTATCGGGTTCAAGTCCGGGCTCTGGCTGGGCCACTCAAGGACATTCAGAGACTTGTCCTGAAGCCACTCCTGCATTGTCTTGGCTGTGTGCTTAGGGTCGTTGTCCTGTTGGAAGGTAAACCTTCGCCCCAGTCTGAGGTCCTGAGCGCTCTGGAGCAGGTGGACTCCAATCAAGTTGTAGAAACATCTCAAGGATGATCAATGGAAACAGGATGCACCTGAGCTCCATTTTGAGTCTCATACCAAAGGGTCTGAAAATTTGCAAACATTTCTAAGAAACGGTGTTGGCTTTGTCATTATGGGGTATTGTGTGCAGATTGATGAGGAAAAATAATAATTCAATCAATTTTAGAATAAGGCTGTAACATAACAAAATGTGGAAAAAGTCAAGGGGTCTGAATACTTTCCGAATGCACTGTAGAGTAGAGACGAGAGGAGTGATGAGAAGAATGAAGGATAAAACTGAGGGCATTTGTGCCTGTGTTTCAACACTGGTAGACATATCTTTACAGGTGTGTGTATGTCTGCGTGTGTACAGGAGTATCTGTGTGAGAGATCTTCGCAGCTGTTTGCTTTTCCTAAATAGAGGAAGACCTTCCTGTTTTGAATACTCTATGAATAGAGGAGAATAATGTGTGTTTGTGTGTATATGTGTGTCACCAAACCCCTGTTCGTGCCACTGACCCATTAGCAGCTGCATGGGTTTGGGAAGTGGGAAGTTTTGGATGTGGGGTATGTGAGGTGCATCTGTGTGTGTGTGTATGTGTGTGAGTTTGTTTGTATGAGAGTGTGTGTGGGTGAGGGGTGAGTGTTGGGGCATGGGTACTTTTGAGGGTGTTGATTTGTCTTCTCCTCTCTTCTCTCTGTTTCCTTCGCTCTTCCTCATCCTCTTCCTCCCTCTCTTCGTCAGGAAGCTGAGACAAACAGCCTCTGTTTTAATGCTGGGAGAGGCAGTCAACTTCCAGCTTCTGTTTCTGCCACTTCCATGTGTGTGTGTGTGTGTGTATGTGTGTGTGTGTGTGTGTGTGTGTGTGTGTGTGTGTGTGTGTGTGTGTGTATGGGAAGTGCTTGAGAGGCCCTGGGAAAATTGACTCTGCTTGTCACTCACCGACCCCCTCAATTCCCATTTAACATGCTTGGCTCAAAGTTCAAACTGCTTGAGACTGCAATAGCAGCAGCAGCAGTACTAGCAATACTGTGATAACTATTGTTCCCTACTGTGTTTCTTTCTACCTTTATTTTACACCAACATCCTGCTTATGTGCAGAAATACTATTTTCTTGCTCCTCTGTTCTGTTACATTTACATTTACATTTTAGTCATTTAGCAGACGCTCTTATCCAGAGCGACTTACAGTTACTTACTGTTCTGTTAGTGTGTGTGTTTGTGTGTGTGTGTGTGTGTGTGTGTGTTTGTAATTAACACAGCTGAAAGGAAAGAGCTAAACCAGCTGGTCACCAGCACTGTCGTGGGAACAGGCTCCATGGTTCGACCAGAAACACCTGCTCGCCTCTGTGTGTCTGTGTGTGTGTGTGTGTTTTGCTGCATTTGACCATTTATGCCCCTATACTGTAAGTGTTGTAGGCCTGAGTCCTTACTATGGTAGAGTTCATAGCTGTGTAATAAGGCCTGATAACTCTCAAACAGTGAAGGCTCCTCAGTGGAGGAAGGGGAGGACCATCCTCCTCAGTGAATTTCATAAAAATATAAATAGTGAAACATTAAAAAATGTATAATTTTTAGATATAACTATACTAAATATTTTCACATGTCACCAAATAATTGATTAAAACACACTGTTTTGCAATGAAGGTCTACAGTAGCCTCAACAGCACTCTGTAGGGTAGCACCATGGTGTAGCTGGAGGACAGATACACTACATGGCCAAAGGTATATGGACAGCCTTCAAATTAGTGAATTCGGCTATTTCAGCCAGACCCGTTGCTGACAGGTGTATAACATCGAGCACACAGCCATGCAACAAACATTGGCAGTAGAATGGCCTGTACTGAAGAGGTCAGTGACTTTCAACAAGGCACCGTCATAGGATGGCACCTTTCCAACAAGTCAGTTTGTCAAATTTCTGCCCTGAAAGAGCTGCCCCGGTCAACTGTAAGTGCTGTTATTGTGAAGTGGAAATGTCTAGGAGCAACAATGGCTCAGCCGCGAAGTGGAAGGCCACACAAGCTGACAGAATGGAACCGCCGAGTGCTGAAGTGCGTAGCACGTAAAACTCGTCTGTCCTCGGTTGCAACACTCACTACCGATTTCCAAACTGCCTCTGGAAGCACAATAACTGTTCGTCAGAAGCTTCATGAAATGGGTTTCCATGGCCGAGCAGCCGCACACAAGCCTAAGATCACCATGAACAGTACCAAGCGTCGGCTGGAGTGGTGTAAAGCTCGCCGCCATTGGACTCCGGAGCAGTGGAAATGCGTTCTCTGGAGTGATGAATCACGCTTCACCATCTGGCAGTCCGACAGACAAATCTGGGTTTGGTGGATGCCAGGAGAACGCTACCTACCCCAATGCATAGTGCCAACTGTAAAGTTTGGTGGAGGAGGAATAA